CGCTAGTGCTGCTTGTAGGAACTTCACTGAGGCAAGAGCAGGAGCAATCTTTTTCTTGTAGGGTTTGTTCTGTGCGTGCAGCAGCACGAAGCGCCATTAAAAAATCCTCCATAGAGGCAAGGAACTTTCCTCAAGGGCACTATGAAATGGAAAGTGTTTTTTAAACGGTGAAGAAATGGAGAGAGAAGAAAATTCATTTGGGAAGGCTTTGGGGCAATTAATTTTCTTGTCATCTCCATAGCAAAAGTCACATGGTGCCACCTACTTTCTTGTACTTTCCAAAAGTTGTATCAGGTTGAGAAGACGCAGGCAAAACATCCTACAGATGCGAGGAGTAATTTTGACAGCAAGTGATAGCACCTGCAAAGGTTTATAACAGAAGCACTTTCAACAGAAGACAACTGCAATAGCAGAATTGAAACATGAAGGCACATAAATAGAAAATTCAAAATTACAGGATGAAGCTGTATCCTTTTTGAATTGTTACAAATATTCTCACACGTGGGAGTTGCAAAACCAGTTAATGACACTTACTAGAGCCACGGAAGCGTGAGCAGTTACCAGTGAGTCACTGGAGAACAGGGGACAACATGCTGAGAACTTTGTGTTATTCTACCAAGGTGACTACATTCATCAGTATAATAGAGGCAGGTCAACTAAATTCTCTTTAGTAGCACACAAGAAAAATGAGGTTTTAGAGGTGCCTGTGGTTATTCTTAACATTTTACTTCAGATAAAATGAATATTTCCAACTCCATATTCTGGACCTAGTTCAGTCCCATGGCCTCTGAAGAATGGCAGGTTTTTCTCTGGAATATTTGCCTTATCACCAAGGTGGTACACGACAACGAGGATCTGGGCTCCATGCTCTGAAAAAGCCTCAGCTAATCCCGTTTTTTTCTTCAGCCTCTCTGCCAGCGACCATTCGCTGCAGGTGACCCGAGGGGCTCTGCTCCCTGTGCTACTGTCACCCTCAGCTGGGGCCCAGGTACCACCGGCCAGAGGCAGGGAACCGCCACCTGGCTTCTCCACCCTGTGGCCAAGTAGGGTGTAACACAGACCTCGTCCATCTATACTGCCAGGGCAGCACTTGCAAACCAACACAGAATAAAGCAGCTGTGAACACAGGCATCACTGTAATAAAGCCGTGACTTTCTACAATCATTTTTATTAGTTATGGAAGAATCCCCACTAGTATTTACATAGTGCAAAAAAGCTGTTATTACTCCAAAAAGTACGGTAGACAGAACAATTATCCTTCATACAGCCAAAAAAGAAATGGAACAAAACCCTTCATATTCTATTTCATAATGATTTTTCTACTGCTTTAACCTAAATATTACTATAAATTTTAAGACATTAAAGATTAAACAGCTTTCCTTATTAGAATCTATTTAAAAGTAAAATATATGAGCTATTCATGAATATTTAGAGGTTGGGCTGTGCCAACTGGGTTTCCACGTTCAGCATGACCATCCATTGGCGAGGAGGTTTTGGGTCAGACATCCTCACGTTGCTTGTGTGGGGGGGTGGGTGGGAGACCCACCTTCCTTGTTTCTATGGCTTGCTTCTGCTGGTTTGGGTCCCACTGACCAATCCTCACATCTAATCGTTACATGGCTAACATCCAAATCAACTCAGTTTCATCAGTTGGCACAACTTCACAGGAAATACTTAATGACAGTTTCAGCAAACAGCAGCTTTTCAAACAATAATACTTTTTTACATAGGTATTTAAAGTAACATTATTAAAATTTAAGCTTGTGTTAAAGAACTGGACAGAACCACATCGTGTACGCCCCCACCCACCCGCACATAAAAAGACACCTCTTACCTTCACCAGGAGACACCAACAAGTGCATTACTGAACACTTTCTATAATGAATTTTTATAACACAGGGCAATACCCTCTATCGCTGTTTAGCCCAAATCCTACAGCTACCTGCACACGACTTAAGCGGATGAACAGGCCACCGATTTAAGCCAGTGGCACTAATGCTGTGCTAGCAGGAGCAGGTCCTAAACCTTAACTGGACATTGTTACTTGGTCCAACTAAGGATGAAAATTCTCCAGAATTTTTCCCTTTTAAGTATTTGCAATCAATGTTTATTATGATTTCGACAGAGATAAAGTATTTATATAAATAGCTTGTATACATAGCCACTTCTATCAGTTTTAAAGAGCCCTACCCCTACCACAGATACATTATTTTTTTATTTTACCAGATAAATTAAGTGGTGAAATCATTTCCATAAAGAACGTCTTAGGAAAAGTAGATCCGTTTTCTGAATAATCATTTTCACAACAAAAATATCTATACACCTATAACTACAGAAACATCTTTTCTTGGGGACAGTAACAACCTGTATAATAAATTGCATCTTTTTATACTGAAATAGAAATTCAGCTACTTGAAAAAGAAACATGGTATTGTAAAACATTGGTAAGCTTCTTTTTTAAATTCTGTTGAGAACAGAATGAAAATAACCACAGTGAGATACTCTCCTCAAGTGCTTCAAGTGGCAAGGAACTTCCCTCATTTTAGATGCAAATAGACCACTCTGAAAGGAATTGCAATTTCATTCTCACAGTTATTGCTCATTCCCAGCTTATCAAAAAAGGAAGCACTAAAACCAGTTTCCTTTACTCAGTTTCAGCTTGCGCCTCTAAGGGTGATCTGCCACATTTAAAAAGAGACTAGTTCCTTATTTGCTGGCAAATTGAGAGTTATTAGAAGTGCTGTTCCACCTTCAAGAACTCTATTAAACCTGTAGCAAAGCTGCTGTTAAATAGTGGGCTGAATATTACAAGACTTCTTCGATATAAATGTCAGAAAATTTTAAAATGACAGTCCAAGTTCAGAAAAGACATATAAAAAGATGCACCTTTGATGTTAATGCTTCAAGATCAAAAGTTATTTGAATCACTGGCACTGAAAAAGCAAAAGAAAAGATTACAAACACCTTTGTTTTTTGATGTTCTGGTGAAGTTTTGCCCTCAGTGTATACACTGATCTCAGCTGACATCGAGACACGTGCTTACACATCCAAGGGCAAGTTTCGCTTGTCAGCAGTTCAAACACCTGTCATTTCCTAAAGCAAAACCCCTTTCAAAACATACAGACAGTAGAAGTCTGCCATATGTACAGTAAAAGGTTTAACATTCAGGAGGCATCATTCCTTAGTCTTTGTTTTCCTACAAAATGCCTATTCTAACATCTAGAAAGATTACATTAAGGAACCAAGAACGTGACAGAACAGCCAGTTGTCCTAGCAGCTCCCTACACTGCTTATCTACACAGCATTTGCTATGCCTATACCTATCAAAGCTTTATTTACATAATACACACAGTTTCTATTATTCTCATCCAAAAAATCCCAGGGGTAGACGGTTTCTAAACCTGGAGTCTTACTCTCCCAGTGCAGCCTGAAACGCCAGCATCACTACTACTGCAAGCGCTGGTCCCGTATTAGTAAGCATGGGCTGAACACCTAACCTATCCATTTCTTGTCTTCTTCAGCCTACCCAGAGGGGTTTTTATGCATTTTGACAGAAGTGATCAAGAAAAATGAAGAGGAATTAAAAGAAACACATTTGCTATGAAGTGTTATTCATGTGAGTTACTCTTTGGCTACTCCTGTGGCAAAGCTCCTGCTGCTGGCAGTTTCAGTACATTCCTTGCCAATGCAAGACAGAAGATGGAAAATAGACTCCTTACATGCCAGGTTTAGACACATACTGCATCTTCAATCTGAAATTAATTCATCATCAGTTAGTGGATTTTGCTTCAGGATTCAGAACAAAACACGGAACAATCCTCTAGCAATTCGCACATTTCAGGGAGGGAGCATATTTTGTTTCTTTTGCCTCTGGACCAGTGAAATACCTCCCCCATACTACAGGGCACTTCCTCCTTCCCTGAATAACTACTTCCTTTTCTACTCTAGAGGTCAATTCCTAAAGCTGTTACAACTATGAGAACAGACAGAAACAGGTCTCATTTGAGTAAGAATGGTTAAGGTACATCCTGAACTCAACACGAGGGTGATCAGGTTCAAAGCATGCAGATGAGTGTAGATACCTTGAGCCATCCCATCATTGACACTTGCGGTTAAAGGATTATTCCTGCTTTTTGCCATGTTATGTAGACTGCAGTATGAAAAACAGCATTCCTGAAGTAAGTGATAGGAGAAAGAGGAAGCCATCAGTTTACTCAAGGCCCTGGACAGGGATTATGGTTAATGATTCACTTATTGTGGTTTGGCAGACAGCAACGGCTGAGAGCATTGGGAATTTTGTTTTCTTTCCTGTTTTTTACGCAATATTTCCACTTTGGAAAAGAAAAACACCAAACCCCAAACATTAATTACATCCCTCTGGTTTAGAGTTCTTCTGGAATCAAAGTTGTTAGAGCTTATTGTAACCATCTCAACTATCAGCAGCTTTTTAATGATGTGTTCACCGAGACCAACTAAAAAGCTGTGTCTGTCTTAGCAGTAAGAATCACGTGTAGGTTTCTCTACTATTTACTTGCCATTAAGACTGCAAATGGGATTTTCTAACTTTTCTTTGAGAACCAAAATTTTACTTTCATTTCTAGATAGATCTAGAAAACCACAGCCAAATACACACACATGCCTGGCATAACACCATAACACAGAGAGTTGGTAATTTGTCAGTGTTAATGTACGTTCTGTTTGATAGTGAGCTACACGGTCACATAGTAAAAGATTTTTTGCTTTTAACTGGTCAGTTACAAGAGGTTTCCTTTTACAACAGATCAAGTGAATACTTACTGACAAATCTTCCACACAGTTTCTATTCTGGGAAATAGATATTGATTAAAAGCTAAGCTAGTTTATAAATCCAACAAGTAACAGACAGCTACAAAAATATTGTGAATTAAATACACATATTAAATGTTTAACAGTGCAAAATGTTGAGATGAAGCATACGAAATAATGGCTGAAACCTTTACAACAGTTAGTTTTAATATAATTTCTACAAAGTTCCTGAGTTCCTGCTCATTTTTACGGCATATAGATGGAATCTGGGTGCTCTTTATTCAAAGAGCTGCAGATGGTGGGTTTATGCTGGTTGTTACTTGCGTGCTTATCGTTTGTCCATTCCTCACCATCAGTGGCTGGATCACCCTGCTCAGAAGTCTCTATTTCTTCCTCTTCACTTTGTTCTGCATTGTCTTCTTCGGCACCATTAAGGGTCTTCCCAAGCTGAAGAGTCTCCATAGTTCTCTGGGTCTCTGAAACCCAAGATTCAATTCTGCTGTTAAGCTGAACTTCTACAGAGATTGGTTCATGAGCATAATCCTCTTCCTCATCATCTTCCTCCTCCTCTTCCTCTTCTAGCATTCCTGGTACAAGAGTACTGGTGGTACTGGTCATGGATGAATTCAAAAGATCTCGACAGCTGCCATCCAGTGATCCTGTTTCTGTACTCTGCTGTGAGGCCCATTCCAGGTTGTCATCTGGTTTCACCTCATCTTTGTCACCTGGTGTGGCTTTTCCATGATTTATGCCTGAGGTAGTGCCAGTTGTAGCCAGAGGTGGTTGTTTGTTAAGAGTGGCTTTTTCAATTTGACCATTACCAGCTTTTTCTGGAACCACAGACTTACATGAGGATTCTCTCTCATTTTCAGAGGCTTCTAACCCATCAGACGTTTCCACCATATTTCTCCAGTTTGTTTCTACAAGTTTCAAGAGAAGGAGGAAACATTAATGGTTTCTGTATAAGAATATTTCTCCTGAACATCCCAGAATTGCTTAAATACCAATAGGAGCTAATAGTTTTAGTATTGTTTGCTTGAAAAATTTTGATTAGAAAAAGGGGGAAGAATGTGAAGAAAGAGACAACAGGAAGAGCTGTGAATAGCTTTGGGCTTGTACAGTATCCTAAACCAGACGTTACAGAGAGTTGAAAGTTTGTGCAGTTAATTTCTTGTGTAAGATGTGGAAGCAGCAAATGTAACAGGGAGTATAGTCAAAGAGGTTACTCTGAAGTATAACTTAAAAGGAGAAAATCGCTACAGTATCAAGTCATCTATGTACAGATTTTTGAAAAAACTTTAAACAAATTAAGTTAATTCTTTGATGTCTGTAACTTAACAGAAATCAAGATAGCATTCTTTCTGATTTACCCTGAGACTAAAAAAGATAAGTCTTTTGACTTCAAATAAGCATTCTCCCTTTTACCCCATCATCTGGGCTTAAGCAACCAGATAAATATGCCTTTTGCTCACACTAGAATAATCCATTACCATCTCAAGTTTCAAAATTTAAGTTACACATCCTATCCCCAGAAACATCAATTTAGTTCCTACCCTCTGTCATTAGTTCCTCCTCAATCATACAATCAATTCTGCGTGTGGTACCAGTTCTATACCAGCTCACTAGAACTGAAGAAGCCACCTACATTGATGTGAGTCAGGTACCTGCAATGCTTCTGAGGATTAGAAATTTAAATTATTATTTTGAATAGAACTGGGGGGGGGAGGGGGAGAATTACTTACAAAACCACCTGAGACTAACCAATTTTCTCTTACCCCTGAAAACTGTAAAATACTGTAAATTACAAGGATATATTGTATTTTTAGCTACATTTTGCAATAGGCAGCATTTAGAAAATTCCAACTACTGGTTACAGAAGTAAGTTTTAACACACTTACCATATTCTTTCTCATTCACTTCAGATATGGGTTCAGAAATAACACTACAGAATGAGATAGCACTTGCTGCAGAAGGGTTACGAGAATGACCCATATGATGGGGTGCCTTCTTGACATTCTTCAAGGCTTCTTCTGCCTGTTCCTGTTCCATTGCAGCAACCATATCTCTGTATGCTTTTCTGGCCTCTTCAGTCAGTGACACCAGCTTATTAAACAGGTCCTAAGCATGAAGGTACATTTTTATAATCATTAGTTCTCACTAACAATTTTCACTTTAAATTACTCCTTTTAGTCAAAGGTATACCACATAGTGAGTCTTAAGCTTATTAACATCAAATAACTTCAATTAAAAATTAGTTCTTCTCTATTAAATAAAAATAAACCCACCACTCCACATATACACAACTTGGAGGTATATTTAAAGATACTGTTTTTCTTACAATCGCAAGCCTTCCAGAGAATTTCAGGTGGCATTTAAGTCTATTTGAAAGCTACACAGACTCTGCAACCCAAGTGTTTTAACTTAAGTCTCCAAGTTCTGCAAATATTGAATTTCAAAGAAAAACACACCCTAATACAAATCAGGTCAAGGCCGTTATCCAATGCATATTAGTTAGGCATGCTCTCTATACCAAATCAATTCTTAACTACAAGGAATGTAATCGTTTACTTTCCCATGTGAATGGGATTACTCACCTCGGCACCCGAGTAGTTGAAGATCCCCACCACGCTAACAGGAACCAGCTTGTTCACACAGCGGCCCAGAGCTTTACGGCCAAGGGCAAAGACAAAAGGGATTTCTTGCTCCCGTGCCATGGCTATTACATTATACAAAGCCTCATCTAGTCCACCTTGAAGAAAGCAATTTTAAACAGGTGTCTAGTCATTAAATCGTAATTAAATATATATCAATAAAATTAAATAGATCTCATCATTAAAACTATGTACGTATGGCTTGACGCAACTCTCTATGCCATTTTAACCAAAATTAAGTCTGTAAAGCTTCAATAAACACAGTCACCAGCTACTATATCTCTACAGGATGGCAAGCCATACATTTGAAGTATAGTAAGTGAGGACAGACCAAAGCAATATTCTGTTGTCTGTTAGTCCTGCACAAATTGAACCAGGATTTTTCACAACTCTTTTCTGGAGCAGAGCTTTGCTCTTCTCCTACCTCAGAAAGCCTCTGTTTACGTATGTGGTTACGGCACAATGACTTGGTTGGCTAATTCACATTCCTCTTAAGGAACCCTCCTTAAGAGCACCCATTGTCCAGGACTCTAGGCGTATCAAAGATTGAAAGGAAGAGAACTGAGGTCTACTGTACATGTTGTAATTATTTTTAACCTCTTCACTCCTCGTGAACGAGTCTCTTTCAGAATGGAGTAGAAGAGAATGAATGGGGAGTGGCAATTACACAACTGACTTCTGCAAGTGTTATGTCACACATTGTAATCAAAAAATGCTTCTAACCTCACTACTTATCACTTCTAATCAGCACAAGAAAACTGTAAACAGTCAAGTGCACCACTTGTTTTATCATTTATACCTTTTGATTGGATTTTTTCGCAGTTGGGAGATATGATTACACACTTTATCTTGTTTAGCTTCATATGTTTAGTAACCTCACGTAAACCCATAACAAGTCTTCTCTTTGCTTTAGCTCTCATGGGATCCTTTTGATAGACCCGTTCCTGGAAGCTGACAAGCTCTTGCAGTAGAAGGGTAACACACTCATCTATTTCTTTACTTAGAACTTGATTACAGTATCTGTCAATTGGAAAAATAAAAAGTATTATCATAGCACATAACCAATACTAGTTCACTGAGCCTTTTCTTTTACCAAATAAAAACGGTTTTGCTTCCTCAGAACAGTTATTGAGCTGTTAGTGTTATTAAAAGGGCTTAGAAATCGGACTGTATACTGCAAGTTAAAAATACACCCTGAAGACGTTTGTATCTCCAGTAACATACCTTAACCCAAGAAGTCAAGTCAAAAATAACATTAAAAAATATGAAGAAACATTCCAATGGGTGCCACAAGCAGCTATGCTTTTCCTTAACTTGGTACTCTATAAACATTGATGAGAAGAGCAGTAACAGTGACTACTACGGTATTTTCATCATTCCTAAGTATTTCTTCCTTTTCATCTAAGGTGTATGTAGTCCACCTTTAAAAAAAGATTTTGAGAATATTCCCATTTAGCTGATTTTGTTGCAGTGATCAAAGAAAGACCAAGGGGTGTGTGTACAAATATACACATAGAGTAATTAATCTATGGCAAAAAAACCCAAAAAGAAACTTGCAGAAACATCTATTGATTAAAAGAAGGTAGCTTATGTTTAAGTTCCTCCTAAGTCTACTAAACCTAGCCATACTTAAAAGACAAATTCAAGGTTTGCACTTCAGTCACCTCTACATTAATAAGGAAAAATTCTTACTCTCTGAATCTCTTGCTGTGAATTTTGGTTATTGCAGAAGATGCCATTGGACTGCCTATTCCAGAACTAGCAGGTGAACCTTGTGACACTGGGGTCATGCAGTACGGAGAATTCTGACTTGCTGGTGAAAGTGAAGTATCACTAGGCATGCTTAGTCCAGTTTCTGAAAGACAAATTTGAAACATTATAAAATTCAAAGACATTTTTACATAAACAACAGCATCACACTTCTTACATATTACTCCCTTGCTTTTTCCAAATTAAATCCTGAAAACACTAAACAGTATTCTTCCCTGGGGGCATAGCTGAGAGAGGGGAAAACAAAACAAGCACATACCCAACACTCATCATGGGTTGGGTAAATATGCAGTACTTGAATATTCATTTAAAAATATGCAAAGCTGCTTTTGGAAACTGATAGAACAGAAGGGAAAAACCTACCTAAATGCTCCAACTTCTAAAAAAAAAAAAAAAGTTTTTTTATATATATAGTCAAGAATTTAACTTATTCCTGGAATATTTAAGATTTTCTCACATCTTCAGTCAGGTAATTCAGAAGAAAAGTTCTGAAGCAGTACATCTGGAATCTTGATAGGTACTTCCTATCTCACCCTACCCCTCTGCCAAACAAGTCAAGGACACTGAAAATCCTGTGAAGTTTCCCAGTTGCTCAGGGCTGTTACTGAGTCCAGATACTGAAGCTTATCAAGAAGAGTATTCAAATTGGATAACCTTATTTACAGTTTGCAGACTTTGTATCTGGACAATTTTCATTATGGTCACCATTAAAAAGCATTGCAATCAATACGGCCTGGTTGCCAACAAGCATTTTAGAAGAGGGTTCCAACTTCTACTACTTCAGATGTGTTAGAGATAACATCAGTAAACTGTATTGCATAAAAAGACACCTGGGAGAGGTGTCTTTTTATGTCTACTGGGAGAGGTCCCTGCCCACAGCAGGAAACCGTTCTATGAAAGACAAAATACTAAAATAAGCAGATTAGTCCAAGGTGAGGGATGGGGGGAGTGGGAGGGAGACCAGCGATACAAACCTTCCTGGGAGGCCAGCTCCTGAGACTGATCAGCAGCCAAGTTTATATGAGCCTCTTTCTGTTCGTCAGATCCCAAAAGGCTATGCTCAGCTGATAAACGGCCTTTCTTCTCTTCTCTCTCTTTCAAAATAATCTAGGAACAAAACCCAACAGCTATCAGTAGCTGAAAATAAGAGAGATAATTGTGAAGAAAAACATCCATTTGACGGAATCTAGCACAAAATAAAGTTAACTAAGTTGTTTTGAATCTTCCTTGCCAGGATAAAATCCCTGAAATCATTTGTTTCCTCTTTGTTCACACACAGTATTTTTTTTCAGCATTTTACAGATTTTACTCAATACTCTCATACTTCTACATCAATAATGTTTTCAACAGTTTGCTTTAAGTAATTCCACAGCTCTTCTAACACTCACTCATCAACAGTTTCTCACCCCTACCCCTGTGAAAAAAACACCCTGTGCAAGAATACTGGTAATCTTTGTGAAGTACCACAACAGACAGAATCCTTTCTGTCTAAAAGAAAGTGCAGAGGTAAGTGGCCATGGATATATTGGTATTACTAAGATAATCAACAAAGGCATTGACAACAAAAAGTCTGGCAAACTTCTCTGAACAGGTAGCTGTGAATTTCCCTATCTGAAATAGAGCATGCATAAGTCAGGAAAAAAAAAAAAATTGACATTTACTCTATTAAATTTTTTCACTTCAAGTTCTATACCCATTTTGAAAAAAAAAAAAAATTAGGAAAATGTAAGGCTAGCTTACTATGTTGCACTACAAACTAGTGTTCAACAACGTGAAAAAACTATGCATGTTTTGCCCTATGTTCTAGTGCTTACCCCTGCAGCCCATATTGAGATAGATTTGTATCACCTCCAACTAATTACAAGGGTATAAAAGTTGTTACATGGCTAGATCCAAAGGACAGGACAACAGTGTAACAGTAACTAGAGGGGAAAGTCATGACTCCCTTACCCCATACTCACTAGTCCTCAAGTAAAAGTTCAGTTTTATTTTGAGTGTGGGTCAAGTTTTATTTTAAGTATGAGTGGTCAACCACTCCAGAGTTGACACGTTTACCTTTTTAAGCGCTGTAGGGCGTTTCAGTTTTGCAATCTCCCTTTCTTTTCCTCTTTTCACTTTTGGAGCAGTTGAATCCAAAGGATTAAGGCAACCCATAGACGGCTGTCCCTTTGTTAAGGACTTTCTATTGGCAGACTCTTTGGTATGAAAGGGAACAGCACTGCCAACTAAATACAAGAAAGATATTAGTTTCACCAAAAGACACGTCAGCTTTATTTCAGTGCTGTTTTCAGAATTTCCACTGATGAATTCTCAAAGTACATTTTCCTTCCTTGGAAAAAAGCAGTTCATAATGACAGGAAAATTACGTCAAATACTGCTGCTTCCAGATGGTTTTAAGCTTTCTTAAAATGTTTTAGGAAGCTATGGATTCCAGCAAAATAATTACTTTAATACCAGTAAGGGATCCCTCTCAAATGACTATACATAGCTTATCAGCAAGATGATAGCAGTAAGGTAGGCTGCAAATATTTATCCAAACATTGACTTTTAGTTGTCAAAGATTATTAATTGATAGGACAAAACAGATGAGAGAGTGTAACACAAAGTGTATCTTCTGCAAGAAGAGATTAAACCAAATGCTGTCTCCAATGGAAATGCCAACTATTCTTTGCCAAGCTTTGTTTGATAGAACCCTGCCAACCTGAATTAATGTTTGAACATGTCTGAAACTCAAAGCAGGTAAATGAAGTGACACACAAGAAGGAAAACGGTCACTATGTGCATAACAACGGACTCTAGGCTACATACTATTGCTCAGGAATTAGATTCACAGGTTACAATAGATAACTACAAAGATGTCAATCCTCTACTCAGCAGAAAGCATTAAAAAAGCTAATTTAATGTTGTGTCAATAAAGAAATAGAGAAGTGTAATTAAGCCATTGCATACACTGATTATGCAACTATAACTTAGTATTCTGTGCATGTCTAGTCTTCCTTATTTTCAAATAGATACAGTAGAACTACAAGGAGGTACAGGGAAAGCAACATGGATCATTAGAAAAGACATGCTCCACAATGGAATAACTAAATAGGCTAGGGTTCTTCAGACCAGTAAAGAGATGACAGGCCTCTACAGATCACAGAGGAGGAGAGCAAGGTATGATTGTTCAGTGTCTTTGTAATACAAAGGCTATGAAAGATAAGAAAATTATGAATGGGGCACAAAAAGAGTCCCTGACTCCCACGCCACAAACAAGACCATACCAGATGGAAGCGCTTTCCACACAGCATGCGGTCAGTTTAGAATTCACTGCCATTAGACCTTATGGACAGTAAAAGCATACAATACAAGCAATGGATAGTTTAAGACAAATTTGGTTTGAGAAACCCTTGGGTCAGGAGGCCCTGAACTATAGTCATCATAGGCAGGACAGATAACCCTGGAGAGGCAAACCTCTGTTACCAGTCAGACGTATTCTCTTCTAAGCAGCTTTTAAAGAGAATTCTGTAAAATCTGTAGTATTAGCTTTGATCTAATACAGTTCTTTCCACATAGTCATTTCAGCACTGAATTACTCTCAAGACCTGAATCCCAAGTATCACAAAAGCACATTTAGCAACAGCCAAGCAGGTTAGAAATACCTGTATATGAGAGAGGTCTGGTGTTGGTGATCTGACGAGCTTTCATTGCTTGCTGCTGCTTTTCAAGAGCTGCTAACATATCACCCAAATCCAACTGAACAGGGGTCTTGCTCTTCTTCCCAGCTGCTTTTGATAGGGCTTCCTGCAACACGAAGATCACACGCTGATAAATATAAAGAAATATTGCCTGCAAAACAGTATTTACAAAGCAATTCTTGCTATTACAGAATAAAGAGGAGCAACGGCTAACTGATATTCCTCTTTACCACCAGGGGGAAGAAGGTGTGTGTGTGTGGGGGGGAAGCTACATACTTGAAGTTTTTTCTGTTCCATGCTTATCTCAGAGTACTCTTGAGCTGTTGCAAGTGCTGCTGCCAAGGCCTTCTTCTTCTGACTTTTTGCACGCTTTGGTACAGAGGTGGTAATGGGAATTGGAGTTTGGACTATATTGATTGGAGAATTCTCTGGTAAGTCATCCAACTAGTGTTTTAAACAAAATAGAAAAAAAAAAAAAAACAAAAAAACAACAACAAAAAAACAATTAAAGACCTTTCTCTCAAGACAATAGGAAATGTGGCACTCCAGAAACCAAATGAATCATTGCTTTGGTCAGCAGTATCACATCCCAATTAAGTACCTCTAGATGAGATGGTAAGTCAATAAGATTAGAAACTTATGTACACACATTTCATTTTTGTACAGGAAAGCTATTATAATTAGCTCCAATTATGCCTTCAGAAGGTTTTCCAGTCTGATTGCTAAATAAGGGAGTGGTTTTTTTCCCCTCTCCACAAAGATCTCATGTAGGACTTGACTTTCCTGGAAAGCAGCCAAAATAGATTAAGTAGCCTATGTGCACAGTTCTGCAACAAGATATTTAAAGTAGATCAGGTGTTAAAAAAAGTATCTTTCCAAAAACTGTATCTACAGCCTTAAAACAGATAGTTTATTTTCACTTAAGAATAAGTTACACAAACTGTAGTTATAGTAATGGTGTCAATTTTTCAATATCTATTTGCAAATTTGACAATTTTAAGAAAAGTCTGTATCAAAGTATCAGTCTAAATGCAAGCCCTTGCAGTCGGCAAGAATAACCAGGATGTAGTTTACATACCAACACAAAGAAATCTCAGTAATACTTAAAACTAATTTTAGTCTCAACAATCCCATTGCATCTCCTGTTTCACACAAAATTTCACATGTGACTTCAAAAAGCACAAAATTTATGAGGCTCAATCAATAAGACAGAAGTTGGGAGCTGGACTTGATCCTTACAGGTCCCTTCCAACTTGGTACATTCTATGATTCCAGGTGTCTATCGTATGTATCTTAGAGTTTCACTTGTTAACCTCCTTAGCAGACAAAAATCCAGCAGTCTTTCCAAGATTGCTTCTCTGCACCATTCATTTTAATTGGCATTTTTTTTAGCATGCAAAACTGGTAATGCAAATACTCTAAGAACATCACAATTACTGCATTATAAGTACTGTAGCAGAGATTCATAAAAAAAGTTACATGAATCAAGTAGTCTCAAAACAACCGAACTTAAAAAGGCTTTGCAAAACAAAATTACTTACTACTTTGGGAGAAATCTTTTGCTGGATGTTACTACTTTTGCTGCTGCCATTGTCACTATTTAGCTCTGGAAATTCATCTTCATCCTAAACAATATACAGATTAAGAATGAACCAAAAGTTACATTAAAAGTATCAGCTGAAACAGCTGAAGCTAGAAGAATGAATTGAATCTTAAAAGTCCCACGTAAGCTAGAAGGGCTTAAAAGTGACACAAATAAAAAATAATGAAAAATTAACAAAGTGTTCCTGTATCCAAATAACCTTCTCCAAAAAGAATAATTTATGCTTTATCCCCATCCCTGGAGACATTCAAGGTCAGCCCTGAGCAGCTTGATCTAGTTGGAGATGTCCCTGCTTATAGCAGGGAGGTTGGACTAGATGACCTTTGGAGGTACTTTCCAGCCCAGACATTCTATGATTTTATACTAAAGAAACCCAATTACAATTAGGGAGGAGGGGGGATTAACCAGAGAATACAGCAAGTTTTACTCACAAGTGAAGAGAAAAAGTTACTTTCAAGTTGCTTACCTAATTTGTCATTCACAGTTCTAAATTTTTTTACACTTCCCACAAGACCCAAATACAAGGTTTTGTACATACATAATGAAAGCATCGTATCATAATTAATGCACTATATTGCACACATCTGGAGGCAGATGTTTTGCCACTTGTCACATCCTTGCTGAGAGCATCACTTATTCCACACACAAATTGCATTGCTACAATGCAGAAACAGTTTTCATGCAACACTACCTCAAAAAACAGAGGCTCAGGACTCTGCTCTGTTCTGCTCGACTGGCTCGGAGCTAGAGGTTTTTCATGTCGTTTCTGCAAATTCTGCCTTCTTTCTGAAGATGTGCTGTGGTCTCTGCACCTGAAACCGGACTGAAAAACAAACGTGGTTGGCATGGTGCAAATTCAAGTTTTCCAGATGTGTATGCATGCATGTAATGCATTCTCATGTCTGCTAATTAGCAACTAAGAAGTACAGTTTTTTGTGGAATTAAATTTAATAAGGCGTCCTTTGGTGTTATGGTTTTTGGGGGGAGAAGTGGGTTTGGTTGGGTGGGGTTTTTTTGAACCTGCAAAAACAATCTATAGACAGTATCAGATTATTCCCCTCCTCAAACCAAATACAGTACCACTATGCAGTTATCCCTAAATGTTTAATTTTAAAAATATATGTTTTTCTTTATATTTAGCCCTAAGTCACCAGCAACTCCTAGGGTACTAACTCAGACACGAATCCTGAGGAACTGTCTCTAACTATAATCAAAAGGGCTTCCTCCCACTACATAATTATTATGCAAGCAATTACTGCCCTTTCAACCTGTTTTAGAACAATGCACAGAGTTCTCTAAGAAGCATATCTCTCAATATAACGATATATACATTCTTCTGTTTTTATGTGAAAGGCTGGTGGAAACCCACATGCAAGAGAGGCTGGCTGAAAGCAAAGCACAACTTCAACCTAAAATTCTGGATATCCCATACTAATCTATTTCTCAAGAAAGTTTCCTACATACGTGGTACAAATTTAGTTTCAAAAGAAAACCATTTCTAGGACAACTATTTGGCTGGGAAAAACCTAATTTAAAAATTTGTGCCAACTTTGTTTTTAAATATCTAAAATAGCTGCCAGATTTAGTCTGAACTGTAATAGGATAAAAGGAAATCTAGTTCCTCCTACTCTCCCAATTCTATAAAACAAACAGTGGCTTCTAAAAGCCTCCAATTTGACTACAGTTTATACAAAGATTCAGAACTGCTACAATGCCAGATACAAGCATCAATGAGCTTTTTTATATAATAAACCCACAGATACCAAATGGGAAGATTCAAGGCAAATTAACAATTCCATCTCAAAATCTAAACAGTGTAAGCTAGCTCACATGTATCTGTGCATACATGCCTGTCTATGAAAAAGCTTCCACTTCAAGCTCAGCTCTTATCTGCAATAACTGAATTCAAGCAAAACCTATGTTTAAGCAAAGGCAGATGCTTCAGCCCTCTCTCTGTCCCCCTCTGCAATCCACCCCCCAATTAAATTACACTACCAAAATTAGGAAAGTGACCTTCTCCTCACATGCTTATTACAGAAATCCACAGGAAGAAGCGTCATAGAAACATTCAAGTTTTAGCATAAAATAATTTTCACTCATTTATTAATAAAAATGCTAAAAAAATGGTATGCAAATAGAGGTTTTAAAAAGGTCGTTTCAAAGACAACAGGAGTGAGAACACTAGTTCACTATCACATCAGAAGCTTTCTTCTGAAGTGTGAATTGGTCAAGAAGTGAACTAACATTTCTACATCCACACTGTCTTCATTTCAGGAGTTACTTTACATACACAAAGTTCTTCCTAGGTATATACATATGAAGAACAGGCTATCAGAAGAAGACTGCCAAGTACAAGAAGATCCATATACCTATGTATCATATAGTGCTAACTCAAGAAACACACAGAGTAGAAATGTGAAACTGCGCTTTTAGGTTGAGTTTCTACATTTTTCATTCACTGTTTTCACTAACTTTTCTTCAAACGTTAATTTTAAAAACAATTTTCATACATTACAAAAAAAATAGAATACTTAAATCAAGAACCATTAACAACATACCTGCGAATTACTTCTTTGCTCAGCTTGTCTTCCACCTCTAGAAAATGTCTGTGTTTTTTCAATCCAAGGTTTTTTTTGAGTTGCCTGGGAATTTACATTAGTCCAACTGATACTAGCTGAAAGAGACATATCATATATGAAAAAATAAATTAGTATGACAGAAAGCACCATAACACTACCCAACAAAGCCAGGAACACAATTTTGATACAAAGTCCTCTGAGAAGGTCTAATTCTTCTTTGGCAACACTTACTTCTGTAGCTATTTTTAGACACTAGCAGAATTGCCTTTATGGAAGAGTCAGGTGAGTATCAAACTGCCAGCAACTGATCATTGGGAAGCAGACAAAGAAGACCTAGTACTACCTAGTGCTTGGATCTAGTACTACCCAGGTATGAACTGCAGTCCTACAGGAGAAGGAAACCTGAGGATAATATAATAGAAGCACAGCTTTGTCTGAATGCTTCCATCCGAGTCTGTCATCTCTAATCCTTTACAGAAAGACAACTGTCGATACGCCATTATCGATAGCTACTCAGACACTTGTTTGTTCAACAGGTAACACGGGCAGAGGTGGTCGTAATCACAGTAAAGATCTATCTTCAGAGTTATCTGACCAGTTAGAGTGGCATGCTGGAAGTAGCTCAAGAGATGGTTCCTTGCAATTCCTACAACAAAAACACAAAAGTGACCCAGCCAAGCTAAGACAATGCTTACTTGTATTTATCGATGGTTCTACAACCTGAAAAGGAAAAACAACTTTTTTAGTAATTTGTATTAGTCTGTAGGATACAAAGCTAGCTAAATTACTCAGTTCTGTTTACATACATTCATTGCACAGGAATCTGTATTTCTCGAAGCCATAGCTGCAGCCTGGTTATTGCCATGCTTAGGACTACAGTAGCCACTGTCACTGTCGATGTCTGCTTCGCTTGCGCCTTGCTCACTGGAAGACTCTGCAGCAGGGTGAGAAGTTCTCCTGCGCCTGCCTTTTGATTTCCAAAGCATTGCAGAGGCACTCTCAGAAAGTGACTTATTCGCTATATCTGAAGGGAAGTCTGCCATAAAGAATGAAAATATTGTCCAGGAATTGTTAGAAAACACGTAAAAACTGCACATCAGAAAAACCAAAGGAAAATGCAAAAGACTTTGCTTATGACAACAATTTCCTTTTAATAAAATTAAAAGCTGCAGTGGATTTAAACACCTTATGTCTAGGTCCAACTATTAACAATAATCAACTCCTTTAAGAGGAGTTTGTTTTTGACAGTGGCAAAGTATCATATAATTGCAACATTATAATGTGACACATTGAGTAGGTCTCTGCAACCACCAGCACCTCTTCTTTATTATCTTTTTGATCTGCAAGCATTTCTCTTAAAAGCCACATCTAAACCATCCACCTTCTTTCAGGAAAGGTGGTGACTGACGTGTAGTTCTAGATATTTTGTACGGTCTGAACACAAGACAGAAATTACCTGTTTGCTGTGATGCATCAACCAACAAGACAATCTTTGATCTGTTCTCAGGACCTGATGAACTAGTCTCCTTTTGAGTGGCGACATTTTTCACTGGAGGACGTTTATTTTTTATGTGCGTCTGTAACTGTTGCTGTTTTAAAAGATTAGGCACAAAAGTCATATGATTTGACTTCATAGTTGTCATCAAAACAACTAAAAGTTCTAATGCTTTCTACAAAAATCACAAGTTTAAAGACAAGCAATTAAGGGGAATATAAATTAAAATAGTTGATTTATTAACCTTTTTGCAGTACTTTCTGCATAAACTTTTCATTATGATATGGAAGTATCCAAAAAAAGATAAAAAAGTATGGGTATACTTCCTTTGTTCTCTAATGAAATAATTCTAAGCTCAGACCAAACTAGCATAGAGGCTGTTGAAGGGAGTTTCCCGTGTTGCACTTCAAGGCTTTATAAACTCACTGAGTACTTTACAACAAAATACTTCTCCAGACGGAGTTTTGCTAGTCTCCAGTTAAAACCCTTCCTAACCACCTCTCCCTGCATTGGTACTACTGGCATACCTCTTCTTGCTCAAATAAGAGATACATGTTTCCTGTGCAAAGATATTTTCTTATACAGTTCTGCTTATTCTATTAAAAAAAAAAAAAAAAAAAAAAGACGACTTACTTTTTGTAAGACTGGTCCCCTGTTACTGCTTCTGCTCCGCTGACTGGATAATGGAAAGACCTGGCCCGAGGGGTTGGGACGCTCCGTGCATTCTGTGGTAACTGCATTTACAGCATTTGCTGTTTGAAAGGGTGCAGAATAGGGAGTACGGAAAGGATGATAGAAACCCATGACCTGAGCACATGGTGCTGGCATCAGCTGATAATAAGTATATTCTGTAGAAACAGGTGGTTGTGCAGATATTATAGGGTAGGCAAGGTATGGTCCTGCAGGATTTGGGTTGGGTTGCTGCCATCTGATGTCATTGTTGTATAATGGAAACTGTCTGTAAAAATCAAAAGGAAAGACAACTGCTTAGTAAGCTTTTCCCTCTTCAGGAAATGCAGACCTCTACCACACCCTTAAAAAGAAAAACAAAGCCAAAACCTAAACAAACACACAACCAAATAATAACAGCTCATTTGTTTAATCAGCTCCTAGCTTTTAATAACCGAACTTAAATTTATTAGGACTTCTTAGAGATGCCAATTAAATGATTCACAAGCTCAGATTACATTGAAGTGCAAAATAAGTATCCTTGTTGACCTTGCATTTGTATAAACTTATTAAAATTCTAGTATTAAACTTAGAAATAAAATGTAGGTATTACCTTTGACAAGTACTTCAGATCCATTATAATTTCTTTGTTTCAGAAACACATACAACCTAAGTAAATACCTAAGCTTACACAAGGTAAGCTAGCAGACACATGAACAGTGACATTCATTAGCTAACTCAGGGCCAAGTAATTTATTAAGTTGCCAGCTCACCCTTGTTCAAGGTTCCTATGAAAATGCAGGCCTTAGGAAGCACATGTAAAACAAGGCACTGACAAACTTACTACTGAAACCAAGTGTAGAGACTTCTTCCTGTGTTTATTTGTGATACAGCACACTACAAGACCTTGGAAACTAGGAACCCTATTCTTTTTCTCTTCAAGCCCCCAACAGACCAGAAGACCATCTACATGGAAGACGCAGAGGCCCAAATACTAGAGAATGAGAATAGAAGTAAAGATACAGCAAAATCTTACAGATCTGCAGCAGGCAACTGCTGAAGGACTACTTTTGTTCTTACCTAGAGCAACAGCAACTAAGTGCTGTCCTACACAAACACTGGGTCTATTTTTCAAAACCAAACAGCTATAATTCTTTATGCCTTAAGTACAAAATAAGCAACACTGAAGTTGTGCATTCACTGGACAACATGTCTGGGCTAGAAGGAAGAGTTCCTAAACTCAGTGGATTGTAACTCATTAGGCAAAGAAAACTGGATACAGCTACACTTAACAAAAGTGCCAGCTGCGTACTGTTTTGCAAAGCTGGACACCTGGAGCCTTGGTTCAGCATCACAGATTCAGACACAGGCCTCCTGACTGCCCTGGAAGATGCAAGAGCACAGCAAATGACTTTGTGGGGGATTTGTACCAGACCTCTGTAGCCAGGGAAAGAAAGGCAGCAAAGAAGATGAATAGAGAAAAGCAGAACAAAGGAAATAAGTCAAAAAAAGACTGGAGACAGAGAAACTTCATTCTCATCCGTGAAGCATCAGAAGATGACACACGGTGAACAAAATGAATATGGAGCCAACAGCCACCAACTCCTCTCAAGTCTACCAAAAGTTTAACCTCATTTAAGATTAGATCATCTTCTGTGAAGCCCACAACCACTTATTACCTATTGGATTGGTTTTCCTGTACAAACGGATAGCAAGTGATCAGGTAGCTAGGGATAGGAGTTGGTTCCATGCCATTAATTCCTCCACTGTCGTTCGGAAGTGCCATTGGGATCATTAAAGTTTCCGGACCTTTCTTCTGAGGAATAAATGGTTCTACTTCAGCTGACAGCTTGACATTCTTAAAGAGAAAAGAAACAATGTACCAATTAAATAAAATCATAAATTGTTTGGGAAAAATATAGATTCATAAAGTTCAAAAACGATAATTACCACAAATAACAAGCAAATGACTGACAAGGCTACAACGTCTCTGCAGTAAAGTGTAAGAGCTGGAGAACAGCTGGCAAGTGCTCGTTACATCTTTCCCATCAACACAGAGCGTAATATAGATCACCAACTTTTAGCATTTGTATTAACCTGCACATTTTCAAAGTACAATACAAACAATAACCGATTCAAAAGTGAGTGAAGTTCACATCTTGCAGAGGGTATACTGGTCTGAGCACAGAAAGAAATTGAATCAGCACAGTAGGTAGAACACAGTCACGGAGGCTTTCTTAAGTGAAACCAGCATATGGAAGATGTAGTAATGCCTGGCCTGCTCTACAAAATTTACCATGTTCCCACACAAGTATAAAAAAGATTTTTTTCAGCAGTAAACCATAGGTTCAAAGAAAATGATCTCCCCCAATCCCAATGGTATCTCCAACATCTTACAAGGTACTTTTACCCACGCTTTTGGCCTTGTATGGAATAGTTTGATCTGATACTTAAACAATGAAAAACATTCTACTCAATAAAACAACTGCAGATCCAAAGTTATCTTAAATTCTATATTCCATTATGTTACAATCAGCTAAAAAGCATCTTTTTTGTACAAATATTTCAGCTTAATTATACTTCTCACATTAGTATCATTAAATACAAATTTTAAAGAAGATTCTCTCTAAAGCAGGTGAGGACTCCTGGAACTTTTCCTTCCATTTGTCTAGGAAAGAACTCCAAAGACAATAAATGCATAATCTCTACAAGTTAATGCTCTCATTTTACAAAATGGAGAGCCTGAAGGTTTGATGTGCTCAGGAAGTTCACCAGCTGAACTTCCATATGAGCAGAAACATTTACCAATGGAAAGTCTGAAAATATCACGGCAAGAAGTCCTACATCTACCACACGCTTCTCAGTCCCTGTCCTTGCTCCATGTCAAACCCACAATGCATCCAGTGACAGGCTTTCTGTCAAATATCTTAATCTATAAGCTTATTTTAAAAGTCCCCAATACTTAATTTTTTAAGTAAGTTCCCGTATTTGTTTTGCTGCATGGGTGTGGCAGAGGTGGGAGAGGTTAAGTTGAAAAACGTTTTGAAATTATAGTTGTCCCAGTCAGTAAGAAAAGCTACTTTTACTTTGTAAGTAGGTACTGTAACATATCAGACTGAACTAGGAAAAGTTAGATCAAAACTCACTCATGCAGAGTGTTGGATCTTTTAGTTAGTCTGACACTTATATACAGGAAAATTTTATTACTGAGAAAAAGGCAGAATCATCAAGTAAATCAGTAAAATAATGAGTTACACCATAATTCAAACAAGTTAAAAACTCATATTTAAGTACTTTGCTGTCATGTACTCATAGAAAGAAGAGAAAAACCCCATAGTTAAGACTGCAAAAGCTCCCTAGCTTTCATATAAATATTATGTTCCCCGTTAAACCGCCACCAGTCTGATGCACTCTACTTTTGTAATATAGAAGCATTTTAAATACATGTTACTTAGGCTTACAGTATTAGAATTGTATGCCAATTTCAAAAATTAAACCCAAAACATGGCTCAATTACTTCTTTTCAACTCCACATAGGACATTCAAATTAGCTAATACTGAACACAGTAATACTGTTAACAGCTATTGGGATGACTTCTACAGGTGGTAACTTTTCCTAAAAAAAAGTTATTGTACACAAAGCATCTGCCTGTGTTGATTTTTACCCTTCCATTACCAGTTTTGTTAACTCACGCTTCTTTCGTGCCATTTTATGCAGTATTAGTTCAAATTTCACCATTAGTCATTTCTGTAAACATCAGTTTACCAAATAATTTCTATGTAAATGTCAATCACTTTTTCCAAATACTGCACATCTCACTAAAAATGACCTTTATAAACACAGGAGGAAGCTTTCTAAATGAAATGCTGTTCAGGATAGGAGATGATTCTCTGCAGGACGTCTGCAAGTATGGATATAGCTTTGATCTTGGGTTAATAACAACTTGGATGGTAAGACATTCTGTGAGCCACCATGACCAAGGCCAAAGGGTTGTTTGTAACTGACCTGAGAATTCAAGAAAACAATAGAAAATAGTGGGGGAGTGCAAAAACCTTGTAATATAGAGTCCATGATTACTAAGATTATTTTTAACCATTTCTTGAGAAGCTTCTCTGTATTTGGACTTGTCAGAGTGCTGGGAAAGCAGAAATGTACCTTCCAATAAAATGACTCTCTGCTTTGATATGCTTATTTTGTAAGAATATCAGTCATTTACAGATAAAATTGTAGCATAAGAGACTTAAAGTTTCAGAGCAATCAAGAGCAAAACAAAACGCCTAAAAAAAAAAAAAATCAGGTAAAAGGATAAAAGTGGAACTAGAGTGGCAGGGCGGAGAAAAAAAGCACATCTTAGCAAGAGACAAGATACACTACCTTTGCCAAAAAAAGTGGTTTTTAGTGCCTGTTCTGAAAACGCTTACGGTTATAAGCGCTACAACAGAAGTATCACCACCTGCTGCGGAACAAAATCTACAGCACAGTGACCAATCACCTTGATATTATTTAAATGCATCTCCTGATCATTAAGTAGCAGGCAAACGTTCCTTCCTTATGTGTTAAGTTTTTCAACTCCTTAAGTTACATTCTGAGGAAATAAACGTGGTGCAGTTCCAACACAAATCAAGCACTCTGCTCTCCCCAGAGCTTCTGTTGTGACCCTCAGCTGCAGGGTGACCCACCTCCCCTCTACAAAACTCCAAGGCATCCTCCCCAACACACAGCCCCACGAAGATAAACACCATTCATTAAAAAGATAAAAATTGTCAAGTGCTTATGTACAGCGATCATACAGTAAGTAACATAAATCTCTCCACTGAACACTAAGAGGGTTTTTCATACTATTTCAAGATTACCAGGCAAAAACATTTGCTTACAAACAGAGTCGTGGACTGGCCTACAAAACTAGATGGCATTAATTTAAAGGAACATACCAAGGCTGTGTCATCCATAGAAAATTCAGCAGTAAAACTAGGATGAGTGCTTTACAAATACAGTATTCTTAATGAAGCACTGAAAACTTTCAGGTAGCTTTCTAATCTACTGGTTATTATCTCCCAGGAACGTGTAAAGTGAACTTCGGCCAAGATACTAATTATAAACCATGCTAGTACTGGCTCAGAAAATAGTCAAAACATTTTATTTGTGACTCAGGTTGGAACAAGATTCCCTATTCTAAAGGTCTTTCCCATCTGTCTGTCTGCTCTTTTCCTATATTATTTTGGCAGACTGATGTGGAAATATGAAAATCATTCCTTAATGGGAACTCACCTGCACAATGGTCTAATTACAACTATTTTTGCAATATTGTATTGTATCAGCATTTGTTATTAGTATTAGGAGAGAACAATCTTTCATATAAAGTATTAAAAAAAAGGAGATACAACTGATCAAAACAGAAGCTGAATTACTCTGATGAGCAAGGCTGTCACAGAAAAATTGTCAGTTTGCAAAGATAATCCCTACCTTACATTTCCATCCAACTATTTTGGATGCAATTTGATTTACTTAAATCCTTCCAGTGAAAACAGGATTATGTATCTTCTAGTCTGAGGCTGGCTTTTTTAAAAAAAAAAAAAAATTAAAAACTCCAAACACAATACAATGTTACTATGGAATTTGACAAGTTTAGGAAAATTTCATTTGAATTGATCTGCTTGATTTTGATAGGTTCAAACTGTTTGGAGATGCCTCAACTAGAAGTACAACTTTAATGTTTCCTTTCCTGCTGCCCAGTCTCTCATAGATGTAGTGATTAACCATTACTATGACAGAGCAATCGGCTGATACGTTTAATTACCATTTTCTGTACAGCTGATAACATAATTAGTATACCTATAGTGGTAAAGATACGGCATATCCTGTAATCATAAACGCGTACGGATGTATTTGAAAGTTAATTTGTTTTTTCACACACAGAACTCTGACAGTATGTGTTATTTAAAGGACCGGAAGCTGCGCTTCAGAAATATTTTACGGTCATACCTTAAACAACGCTTTCTTGTACAATTTTATCTGTACCTACAGGTTTGTTTGGTTTGTGGAGGTTTTTTTTTCATGCTTTCAAGAAGCATGTTTCAAAAAAAAAAAAATTCAGGGTAAACCTCTGTTTCTAAATTTTGCATTTTGTTCTGCAGGCACAATATAAATATATATGCTAACTCACCAGAACAGCAACTGAAAACTTAAAAACCTTAATACAGATGTTTCAAAATTATTCTACAAGTGTAAGACAAGCAACCCTCAGGACAACTGTTAAGTTTCATTAGATAACAATGCCCCACTCCCACTTTAGAGCAGCAAAGACAGCTCACATGTATTACCAACTAAACAAAACTAACTTCAACATATTGCTTCCTTGTAGTATTTTACCAGTCCCTCTAAAATACTTCAATGCTCTTTTTTTACATAGGACACCTCTTCAGATGAGGGCAGTAAACTTCATTCAACTTAAAGCAAAGAGTGGCAACAAATGTACTGCCAGGTCAGACCACTAACCAAACCAAAATATAAACAGAATTAGCTCTCCAATGTGATTATCCAGACATTTCGGGACATTTCACAGCTGCCTAGTGGTTTCATTGGACACACGAGGGAAACCAAAATAGCAATGCTAAGTAATTTGCCCAAAGTTTTCTCAGCAGATTTTTTTTTTTTTAGGACTATGGTTTTCCTCAGCCAGGAATAAGGGTTGATGTATACAGCCAGCAAAGTAACTCCTCTTTTTAATAAATGGCATTTTAGGTCTCCTGGCTCCCAGTATGTTGTCAAAACAACAGAAATAATACTCCCTTAAGAGCACAGGAAGAGAAAGTGAAATAGAAAGCAGAAAATAATCAATTTAGTAGCAAGTAAAGGTGCTGCTAATTCCTCATTGGATTGGACAAGGTAAAAGTATCTCCAGCTGAAACATTTCTTTTAACAGGTTGTCTCTGTGCTTCTTTGGCCAGACATAGAAATAATAATGCCAAATAGAACAGTTTGCTGCTGTTGTTTTGGGGTTGTGGGGTTTTTTTTAAATACCATGCTGACAGGGCTGAGACTCATTGGTTACATTTCCCACTAACTACTGAAGTAAACTCCAGAATAAGAAACTAGATCTTTTTAAATTGCATTTTGTTTCAGAAGCAAACACTAAGTGCATAAATCAAAGTGCATGCAAATATGTATAAATCCTCAAAGTCTTCATTCACACAGTACAAATGGAGTGACAAGTCCAGATGAAACAGAACTAACAGGACTGATGTCACTAGTTTTTAACCACAGGTAAACAAAGCAAATTAAAGAAGAAAGATCTGTCAGACACTAAAGAATTTTGGGAAGGTTCCTACACTTTTCCTAATCCTTACCAGAGAGCACTTGTGATACTAATTTATGCTCTAATTGCTCTTACAGTATTGACATTTATTCTAGCCGGTATCTACTGAAAAAATAGCATTTTGCCAGTGACACCAGTAAATGCAGGATCAGACCCCAAACAGTTAAAGTAATATATATTTTTGATCAGGCAATCTAAAGGCAAACATTGCAAGAAAAAAAATATTTTTGCATGCAATTTTTTATGTTTACTCAACCTTTCACACCACAAAGCTAAAAAAAGCTTTACTGAAATTGACCTCTGATGACCAAACTCAATTCTAATTGTAAATTTAAGTCATGTTGGAACATCAGCTTTTCAATCAGTTGCCTATTAATGGAAGCACACCCCTTCAAAAGAAACCAAGATTTATACAGAAGTCTCTTTTGTACATATCCCTAGTTTCAATTTACAAAATGTTTTTCAGTAGCTCATTACTTATTTCAGTCCAACAATTACAACTCTTCCAAGACAGCATATACGCTGAAGCGATCCTTTGTTTCCTATATAAAAGCTACTGTAGTCATCAACAGCTGCAAAGACAGAAGATGACACAAGCAGGAACAGAATGGTAAACTTTGTCCTATAGTTATAGCACTGTATGTTTAATCTTAGAAAAGTTTTTGTCCATTGTAGCTTAATGTCATTCAGCATGTTCCCATTAAATAGGATCTCTGTCAGCTTGCTCTCTTAGAAGAGAACACTTGGGTATCAATCTCACCATTTACAGGGTGAGAAAATAGACACAGATGCCACATTTCAGAGGGCTATAATAAAATCAGCTGTTTTTCTGTTTCAAAGTCTGGAAACAAGAAGTCTCATCACAAATCTAAGATAAAAACATAGCTCAAATAACTTTTTTTCTGAGAATACAAACCTGCTTCTGCATTTTGGATATCATAATTTAAGACTCATTTTAGTAGTAAGACAGGTCACATTTAATCTATTTTAAGAGAAACTTTGCAAATGTGGAAGTCATTGTTTCTATAATTAGTTGCTTCTAAGTGGCAGATACTTCAGGAATGGTAAATATGCAGTCCAACTGGAAACACCAGCAGCAGGCCCCTGAAGAAAGCACAGAATTTAAGCCTCCCTATTTAAACACATTAATTTCAAAGCAACACTTGGTAAATACACTATGAAGTTAGTCTTTCTCTCTTCCCTCAGCTCACAATAAGGGAACCGTGCTTAATTCTCCTCCCTTTCACATCAGAAAGTACCATGCTCAGAATCTAACAAAGCTACGTATTAGATTTTTTACATATATGCAGAAAATGAGCAAGAGGCACAACATGGCCAGTTGGCATGTTTAAACTGAAACCCAGAATATTCTACAAAAAGGAGGGAAAATTAAGGTTGAATATTTATGTTTTAAAAACCTTGTCCAAAGAGAAAGAAGCTACCAAGGGGATCCTCTTCACTTACCTAGTTTATAAAGCTCAACAGTACTATGTACTAAAAGTGTGAATACAAACAGCATCCTCACCTCCACAAACAAGTCAACCATAAATCTATGATAAAAAAGATGTTAATATATCATATCAATAACATTTAAAATCACTGCAGAACATATTCTATAATAACATAATAAAAATTCTCACAAAACTCAAATTCTCCTGCACTTTCAAGATTCAAGAGAAAGTAGTGTGCAAAACAGAGCATGGGAAAACTGACCTTTTCCAGTTTGTCTCAGATCAAAATTCCATCACGGATAAGAAACACTGAAGGAAGTTGAGTAGGATAAAGAACAGAAAACATTGGTGTAGATCTATGGCAAGCCAGCTGTTGAATGGTCAAGAACAGCAGAGGCAAGCAGAACAGGCTGCCTTTAAGCAATACGAATACAAAATGCAGGTCATCAATTTTGCAACTTCACCTGATTTCTCAACTGCACTAATGGAATCAAATGTCTTAATCACAGGGCAAGACAAATGTAGCACTTAAAAAAAAGTCAAAGTACAGCAGAACTTTTGAGAGGGGAAGTTGTTTCTCTTCAGTTTTCTACCACTATCAGCTTCAACAAAAAGAGTGCCAGAGGTCACGTGCCGAGTTTTATCTCTGGTAGGAAAATAACTCCTGACTGCTGAAACTCATATGATTTTTAATCGGAATAGTTTCAGCTCTGGAATAGACAAAAGTAAACTTCTACACCCACTACAAAAATCACAACTTCTCCTATAATAATATAATTATTTTTTAACTGCTTCATTATGTTGTACAATGTCAGCTTCAAAAATATCACTGAGTGTATGTTAACAAGAAAAGTAATATCAGAATTTAACTAACAGAACCCTGAAGGGCAATCTACAAGTAACATCCTTTTGGTTTTTAGATGTCCAAATGTTCTTGGTGCACATCCTACTGATTTACTAAGCCAACACCACAAAACTCTGTTCAACTACATTCCTCATCAAAAGCATTTGAGATCCCCCTTGACTTGTGAAATACTACACTTGAAACACAGCACAATATTCCTACTCCCTCACATGCCAATTCCCCAGGAGTTATTCCTACAAGTACGTACAGTTACCATATCACGCATGGGAGAGTATTCTGGGGAAAAGGGGAGAAGAGGTTAAGTACTACTAACACATATCAGCAATGCTTTATTATTTATCAGATGTCATGCAATTCAGACACAGAAAGGAACCCAAATGAAAGAAAGGATGGAACAGTAGTCAGACCTGATGTAACTTCACCAATTTCACTGGTCAAGGAGACTATATCTAATTCTTACAGCACAAAAGACTCAAACCCAAAGCATTTAGGTAGCTCCTAATCAACATGCTACTGCATAATGAGAAGACAAAAGCAACAAGATAGCTGAATCATTTTTACACACTTATCAGGTATTAATTATTTGTCTGCCTAGAAGCCTTACTAGTTGGATAAGGAACCACGAGGACTAAACATGCTGCATACAGAACAAATGAGAAGATAGCTCCTGCTTCAGAGAGCTCAGCTGCACCTCACAAGTTAAAACACTGTACTAAGATAATCACACAGAGTCAACAGTTTACCCCTTTGAAGAACACAACGATTCGCAGTTTTCCTGAGCTATCTGCAACAAATAAAAAGAGGATGGTTTGATAGGGACATGAGTGTGAACTTTCATTAACAAAGAGCAGAAGCCACAAGGAATAAATATTTCACAAGCACAGTGTGGTGCTAATTACAGACGAACCAAAGGAGAGGAAAAAGAAAACTGACATGAGACCCCAAAATCTTAAGGCAAAAAGTATAACAGATTAGACTAACATAAGTTTTACAGTATAAGAAGTTTTTCTACAGGAAAGCAAATAAAAAAGCACAAAAAAATTTAAAACCATTATCACACCAGAAAGTCTAGTAAGAAAGACACTGTTCCACAGTGTCACAGCCATACTGTAATTAGATACACTGTCCACTAACTTCCTCAGACATACACACAAAAGGAAAAGCAATATATCTGTACAGAGTGCATTATTACTCGGTAACTACTTTGCTACAGGAACTTGACTTGTTTTCAAGTTACCCTACTATTAGTACCCCTGGAGATGGCAAAGCTGACAACTACCAAAAAAAAAAAATTGCAAGAATTAATGAAATTTCAGTACAATCTGCTGAAACAGAAGCTTAAAAATAAGATCAGGTTGTTATGGATTGCAACATTCATTTCAGACCTTTTAGAACTACCTGACGATGATGAAACATTTTATTGCATATATGTGACAAATCATATGAACTTCCGAGTTCCACCTTAAGTTTCTTCATATCTTCAATCTGAAGGGTCTTAAGGATAATGTAAACCGATTGCCTTAACAAAGCCAAGCTAAACACGGAAGAAAAAAAGATAGCAACTTGTAGAATTAGTGAGCTATCCCCAACTCTTCCCACTCAACCAGCTGAGACCATCAGCTACACCCTTACCCGGAAAGTATCAACCTTAACCAAGAGTGACATAGCTCTCATATCACAAAGTTCTCCAGAAACCTGTGACAGACTGTCCTAACGACCGGGCAGATTAAAATTAAGTGTCACGAACTGCAATTATTACCCACACTTGAAAGAAAACCTGAAGGAACAGGAGGGAGAAGGCCAAAACGGAGCGTTACATCCCTCCGCTAACGCCAAGTGGAGATGCTCACGGTTTTCCAGCTCACCCGGGCCGCGCCGAGGCTGGACGGGCACGGCTCCGCGGCTCCCGCGGGAAGC